TACAGGAGACTATAACACTGCAAAAGAAACCAAACAGGGAAATCCACAAATCAGAATGCACCAAAGGCCATTACGGTAGCACCCCTGGGTTACTGTGGTTTTTCCTCATACTTAGTGGGAAATTGTTGCTACCCCCCTCCTACCTGAATTAGCTTTTCCAAAACTTTAATAAAATATTGATTGCAGCTGAGCATTATCTTACATACATCCGTTTTTCCTAAGGCTGTTCTAGGGGAAAAGTTGCATGGAGCTGGCAAAAGTCCTTTTTGTTGGAGGAAGCAACTGCCAACATACCCCAGCCCTTCTGCTAAGGGCTAGCAAACCAATACATGCAACCTGTGCAGGTGTTCTCAATCAGTCACAATCACACCCTCCTATAGCTTAATAGCTTACAAATTCAGATTTTTGGGAATTGTAGAAACAAAAGCATGATAAAAATTGAAATGCCTCCAAGAGGTAGAATTCCTTGTTTAGAGTGTCTCAAGCTCTGTGTTCCATCAGCCAGTTCTATCTCATTACATCAGCTGTAGATTTCAGCAGTATATTCTGACCTTAATAGAAAAAGAGCTTAAAACCAGAACATGACTGCACTTGTTTTTTAAGCATCAGAAATTATGAGCACATCTATACCACCAGTTTTCTTTGCTATCTTACTTTTTAAACATCTGCTCACATTTCCTTAACCAAGTTGTGGATGCCCCTGGAGGCATTCAAGACCAGGCTGGATGCAACTCTGGCAGCCTGGTCTGGTGGTTGGCAACCCTGCACATAGCAGGGGGCTTGAAACTAGATGATCTTTGAGGTCCTTTTCAACCCAGGCAGTCTATGATGCTATGAAGTTACGATGACAGTGAAACACAAGCACTCTCCAAGGCCAACCAGCCTACAGAGAGCATTTCACTACAGCTACAGTACACTAACGTCAGAGCAGAGCCCTGTTTCTGAAAACGTGGTTAGTTTCAGAGATTACAAACTCCTTTCCTTCTTTACTTCAGTTTGCACACTTTGCTTTAGGCCTGACGTGGGTGCTCTGATCGTGTCCTTACCAGACTGTGACGATTCATAACCGTGGTGCTGTTCCTGCGGGTTCGCAGAACGCTGCCCTGGAACACCTGTGAGTTATCACTGTGAAAAGAAACATCTGTCAAATGCAAAAGCCATTGCCTTCCCGTCAAAAAGCACCTCTTGCAATAAGCTCAGTTTCAAATGCTATGACAGTTATCATCTCAAGGTGAAGCACAACCGAGTCCCAGCTATTTCTTTAACTGATTTATCTCATTGAGCCTAAAAATAACTAGAAAATTAAGACAGACCCTTTCTGTGGGAATTCATTATGTTTGGAAAGGCTTACAGGAATCATTCACCAGAACAAATTCATAATAGCATATAACCAGAAACCAGCTTCAGTGGCAGCAGAACATAGCAGTGCAGTAACTCTTATCATGAGGAACGCTTACATTCAGAACAGCAGAGGTTAAATTAAGCACACTGCAAAAACAGTTTAAAAACCCCTGAGACTTTTGGCTGCAGTGATGCCCTTAATCAGGAAGCAACACATCAATTTAAATGATGCAGGATTAGGTATTTGACATAAGCACAGCTCTTCTTCCAACACAATCCTCTTTCTATTGATTCCTAAACTAAGTTTCTCTGGCCATCGCTAGTATTCCCAACAGCAATTAATTAGTACTTAATGATACTAAAGGAATTAAGTTTTTGCAGAAACTTTGAGCCACGTGGATTGAGTCCAACAAACAGTGCTTACCGGAAAGAAGAAGAAGGGGGGTGGAAAGATTGATTTGGCATGGAAACAAGAATCAAAAGTTGAGAGAAAGGTAAACTCTGTGCTCTAAGAAATGGCACCTGGGGAAGTTCTTACCAAATCTTGTATGAGGGAAATGGGGCCGGTAGGCAGCAACAGAGCACGAGCAGCAGCCCAGGAGCTGAGCTTTGTTCCAGTTTGCTCAACAAAGCCATTCTGGGAAAAAGTGACGTTTCTTGCCAAGAGCTGCAATCTCACAAGAAGAGTTTTCTGCTGGAAAATTCCTAGCAGGCAAACCACTGCAACCACCTGCAATTAGCTCCGAAGGGTTTCGGTGCCATTTGCATAAACACCTCACCGAGCGGATGCAGTTTTAAGGCGAGAGCTCTGGCTCACCTTTCTGTTTGCCCACATCTTGAATTAAACGGTTTGTTTACAGTGCGGCGAGGAGATTTTAGGGTTTGCTGGTTGTTTTTTTTAACTTCAGAAGTGTCCCTGCGGAGCAGCCATCACTCACAGCACTCCGGCCCTGCTCACAGCCGTGCAGGGACAGCTGCTTCCTTACATTCCACAAACCAATCACACTTCTGCTTACTTCACCTCGGCCCACGGCTGGCCAGGCAAGCGCTAACGCTTTCTGAGCCGCAGCGTACGCTCAGCTTTGGTATGAGGTCTATGAGGTTTACGAGGTCTCTTCATCGCCAAACAACGGCACTTGGAGTTGTAAACCCAACCGAGCGGTTTGGGTGGGAAGGACCCCGAAGATGACCCGGAGTTCGCATCAGCCAGAGCAACGCACGGGACAGCGGACGCCGCTTCGCGCTGAGTTACGGCTGCCGTACCGCCGGGTCCCGCGCAGCGCTCGGGCTGAGCCGTGAGCCGTGAGCCCGCAGCCCTGAGCCCGCAGCCCGCCGCGCTCACCTGAGCCCGTGGATGAGGGGGGCGCTGTTGGATCTCCTCAGCCCGCCGCCGTCGCTCGGGGCCGCGGCGCTCCCCGGCGGCAGCTCCAGGTCCAGCTCCATTTTCTCCTGAGCCATCGCGGCGGCTGCGGCTCCGGCTCCTCCCGCTCCGCCGCGACGCCCATTCACTGCCGCCGCCCGCCGCGGCTCCTCGTGCCGCGGCCGCCCCCACAGGCCCCGCGAGCGAACGGGACCCGGCGAGGGGGGCAGCCCCAGTAGCTTCCCATGCCGGCGGCTGCCCGAGGGCCGGCCCCTTCACACGGCCGCTCTCGCCACGCTCCGCGATACCGGCGCCGCCGCCACGGAGGGAGGAGCGCCTCAGGCCGGACGCCCCTTACCCCCCCCCAGCACACCCAGCGCGCATGCGCCGCACGGCGCCCGCACGGCGCCGCGAGCAGACGTGCCGTGGCGGCAGCGCGCATGCGCAACGTCACCTCCGCCCTCGGGAGCTCGGGGCGGCCGGGATGCGAGGCGCGGGTCCTCGCTTACCTTAATTACCTTATGCTGCTTTATCGACGGCCGCGTTTATTTGGCGGCATATTAAAGAGTCACCGGGGTTGGGAGGGACCTGAAGGTGTCATCGAGTCCAGCCTCCCTGCTGAAGCGGGTAACGTATTGATGGCAGCGGGCTGCGGGCTTTCATCTGCCCGTACGGCTGGCGGAGCTGCGGACGGCTCTGCTCAGCGCTCAGTGCGCCGTTGGAGCTCCTTGCGATTGTTACCTCTGCTGTCTTCCCTAACGAAGACTTTACGGTTTTCAAATGCTGTGTCAGAGCAGCCTGCAGAGAGCAGTCGGGGATGGAAGGAAAAGCCAGCGATGTGCTGAGCAAAACTGCAGTCATTGGCTTCTTTAATTCTTGGGGTGAGGTGGGGATTGCTGGTCATTTCACGGAGAATCGTCATTAGTAGCTGTCAAATATCACAAAGAGTGGCTCGATGTTTTCTTTCTGCTCTAAGACACTGCAGGGAGTTTGGCCTCCAGGTTTTTTGGTGTAAGGACATATTGAAAAGGTTTGAAAATACTTAGAGTGGTGTAATGTGGGGGCCCTGGTAAGTCATCTCAGATCCATAATAGGCTTCTGTAGTGTCAGCATAATGCAAGAAATGTAGATGTCAGAGAAACAGCTCCTTGGAAATATCTCTAGATGTGGAGCAGCTGCCATCAAACTCCTGAAGCAGTTCAGTTATCTACAATCATACGCATTTGGACTATTGAAAGGAACAGAATTTATGCAGCTGTGTTTCCTCTCACGTTTGAGATGGTGAAGAATTCTAAGTCTTCTATCCTTATTTTTTTCTGTGCACAGCAGCTTTGAAAAATAGTAGATATTTCCCAGGCACAAATGGATACCTCCTGAAATCAAGTGCTGGTAAGGCCCTCAAACCCCACATGTAAGAGACAAACGCATGTGTTGAAAATGCTATTATAGAAAAGCATTTGAACAGTAAATCAATCAGCAAGTACAAATGTGAATACTTTGTCTGGAATGGAGGAAGAAAATTTGAGTTCCAAACTGAAATACTGCCAAGAATTGGAATCACAGGGGTTATAATGAACTTTACACTGGACTTTTGAATGCAGCACAGAGGCTCATATTCATATAAACCATGGAAAAAGCTTCATTTGTTGGCAGCAAAACAGAACAAGAAAAAATACCGGAAAGAATTGCAGGGTTTACACCACAGAAAGAGAGAATCCGAACCCGAGCAGGGCTACGGATCCTTCCCAGCAAGGCACAGCAGAACCTCACAGAACGCTCCGAGCCGCCCGCTGCTGGATTCGAACCCGCGGCTCCTCGCACCCCACACCGCCCTTAGCCCGGCGCGCACTGCGCTATTTCAAACGGACTCCCCGCCCCGCCGGCCAATCAGCGCGCGCTCTCCTTCCGGAGGCTCTCGGGAGTCCGTCCGGGGCCGGAGCCGAGCTTCGGGTTCGACGCGCCTCCCGCGCGCATGCGCATAGCGGCACGCAATGGCAGGACGCGTGCGCACTGGGAGGCGGTTCGGGTCTCCGCCCTGTCTCCCACGCGTGCGCGCTGGGCGACGGCAGCGGGCGCTGGGACTGCGGGGGGCGTCCGGCCTGAGGCGCTCGCTCCATCCGCAGCGGCGGCACCGGCGTCGCGGAGCGCGGGCGGCGGCGGGAGCGGCTGCGGGAACGGGCCGGCCTTCGGGCCGCCCCCGGCATGGGGCGCTGCTGGGGCCGCCCCCCTCGCCGGGCCCGGCGCGCCCCCGGGCCCTGCCCGCGGCGCCGCCCGCGGGGCCTGTAGGGGCGGCCGCGGCATGAGGAGCCGCGGCGGGCGGCGGCAGTGAATGGGCGTCGCGGCGGAGCGGGAGGAGCCGGAGCCGCAGCCGCCGCGATGGCTCAGGAGAAAATGGAGCTGGACCTGGAGCTGCCGCCGGGGAGCGCCGCGGCCCCGAGCGACGGCGGCGGGCTGAGGAGATCCAACAGCGCCCCCCTCATCCACGGGCTCAGGTGAGCGCGGCGGGCTGCGGGCTCAGGGCGCTGCGGGCTCAGGGCTGCGGGGCGCGCGGTCCGTCCGGCGGCTGCTCCGCCCGCGCCTCGCGGGGAAACGCGCTGTGCGACCTGAGCGGAGTGCCGCTCCCGATGCGGGCCGGGTGCTGCTCTCGGGGCGCTGCGACGGAGCGCTGCCCGGCTGAAGCAAAGCACGCCTCAGCAAACCTGTTCTCTGTTTTTCTTTTCCCTCCAGTGATAGCTCCCAGGTTTTTCAGCCTTACGTGTTGCGAACTCGCAGGAACAGCACAACAGTTACCAGCCGGCACAGCATGGTAAGGAATCCCAGGCACGCTCTGTTTATCCCTAACGAGGAGGGGGTGGGATGGAGAACCGAAGCCGAACTCGATTTGTACTTGCACTGAGCGTCACGGCCAGCTTCCACACTGCGATTTCTGAAGCTCCGAGTAGTTTCTGATTAAGTACAGTCTTAAAATGAATTCCAACGTGGGTTGGAAGAGTAAACTGCTTTTGTAACTGGAGGTGTTTAATGGCTGTCTGATTTGCAATTCACAAGGAATTCACAAATCTTCATTCACCTGTTTGCTTTTGGTTTTGTCTTTTTTCTTTTTTTGGCAGGGCCACTTGTTCTTTTGTGAAGCCTGGTCAGACAGTATGGATTTGTATGAAGAAGTGTATTTTATATGCTGGGCAACGTTTTGCCCTCTGTTATATGGACCTGTTTTTGCACAGTACTGAACTTTTCAAAGATGTGGCATTTCTTTTCTCTCCTGTTCCTTATTGTCAGCTCAGGACCTCTGTGCTCTCTTCCCTAACGTTTTTCTTTTTTATCCGAGGATATTGAAGATTAAGATTTGTTTTTCTCAAAACCTGTGGAATGTAAGGTCCTCAAAGAATGTAGTTTTAATAGATATGTATGCATATAGTTATTGTTCTGTGATTCTGATCAGGATAAAAATGAGATGGAGTTCTAGTTCATAGACTTCCATTGCAAGTTTTCTTTTAAGAAAAAAAATGCTTTCAAGATTTTGGAACTTGGATCAGTCATAAACAGGACATCTGGATTGAGAACTGATGGCCTGCTTGGATGTGGCAGCAGCATCCAGAGGGAGTAAATGCACAATAAACTTTGCAATCGCAGAAGTAAAGTTTTGTGAAATGCTGTTCAAGACAGAGATATAACCCTATAGAAGTCAGCTGGTTGTGTAAGTTAGTACAAGACTCTGTCTTATTAAGCTGGCCAGGGGGGAATTAGGTAACATTCTCAGCTTTGTTTCTAATGCCTGTCTTGTCTAAATGGCACACAGAGCTATTTGTGCACTTGAGCTACCAAGCAGCACCTGCGTGCAGCTCTGCCACTCGCTGAATGACAGAATAAATTTGTAAGCAGTAAAACTAGTCCTTTCTCTGGAAGGTCAGTGTTTTCTTTTTGCAACGTTATTGAGTCATCTGCATGTAGTTGTACAGCTCATTTTTAATTCAGCAGGAATTAGCTGATGCTAAATAAGGCGTATGCAGGCTGTTGATGTGTGCTTTAATTGTTATGGCTGATCCCTTTTTTCAGTTGCTGTCATCATCTCCTATTCGTATTCCTAGTAGTCGACTTCATCAGATCAGAAGGGTAAGTGCAGTTTTCAAACTGTGTATCTTACAACAGAGTGAGAAACGTTTATGTAATATTGAAGTACTTATCTATCAGGAGTCTTTCCTACTGAGTTTTTCGAGAGCTAGAGACAAACAGAGCTAAAAAGGATTTAATTTTGATACAGAAGCATTATTGTGAGGCGTGTTACTGTCATGTTTAAGTTACCTTGCATTTTTAGTGCTGTTTCATTAAGGAGAAATGTTGAAGTAGGCTTGTGGCAGTCTTTTCTTTCTGCTGTGTTCCCGCTGTCCATATTTCAATTCTAAGTGCAAATTCTTGAATCATGAGTATAATGCCAAGTATTTATTTTGAATCAAATGTTATGGGAAAACTTAGAATGTTTATCTCCTGCAGGAGGAAGGAGTGGATTTAATGAACAGAGAAACAGCGCATGAAAGGTGAGTGTTATTGAAACAAGATGATAAAACAGTCAGTTTGTTCTCTTTGTATCTACTGATGGGATCTTTTGTATCCTAGGGAAGTGCAAACAGCAATGCAGATAAGCCAATCATGGGAGGAGAGCTTGAGCCTGGTAATCTCTTTGTAGATGTTTTGTTTTTAATTTTACTTCTATGCTCAACTAATGAATTTAAGGGAAAGAGAGAAGTAACTGTGGAAATAATTTGAGATAAACTTAAGTTCGTCTGTTTTAGTTCTTTTGCTCGCTTGGCCTGACAACTTTCCATCAGGAGGTTGTGGCTTGGGTTCTAAAGTAATGCTTTTTGCCAGTGTTAAGTTTGAAACCTTTGTATTTTCAGAGTGACAATGACTTGGACAAGTCTGAGAAATCTTCCTCCCCAAAGAGAATTGACTTCATTCCAGTTTCGCCTGCACCCTCGCCTACAAGAGGAATAGGAAAGGTAAAATAAGTGAGATGCCAAACAGAAAACACATTTTAGAATGTAGCTAAACTGTGAAGCTGTGAAACTTCACATATTGTTTGACAGTTTAAAAAAACAATGGCAGAACCCAATGCAAACCCACGTTTTACTGGTTTCTGAGAATCAGGTGTTTATCCTAAAGCCTGCAGAGTTGAAGCAGCGTGTGACTTCCTTCACGTTTTCACTTCTGTAATGTTTGGGTGAGTTAGAGTTCTGATTCTAAGGGAACTGGACAAGGTCATTGTAGTAATGATTGTGATCCCCAATTGTGTAATTGGGACATGCTGGGGAAGAAGAACCAAAATCTGAATATGTTGTATTGGAGAGGAATAGAGTAGACACAGACTAGGAGCTGCATATCTGTGTGGTGAGGAGAATCAGTATATGCCCATCAGTAATGGAAAGGAAGGCATAAACTCAACTGTCAAGAAGTACTGAGCATTGAACATGTCAAATTTGCACTGAAAACTGATGGCAAATGCTGGAGAAGGAGAAAGGCAGATCTTGGATGAACTGCTTTGTTTTTTTCAGTAGGAACAGGGAAACTGAAATGTAGCAAAGAAAAACTGGCAACTGTGTTGTTTAAATGTGGGCTGCTTGACCTTGTTTCCACCCTCTTGTGGTTCTGCTTTTGTAGTGCTACTGTTTCATTGAAAGTCAGTTCCTAGTGTGACACCACTACAGGACGCTGGCACTGTGCCTTTGGAATTGGAACTGTATAGCTGTAGTAAACTTGACAAACGTTTTTGTGCTTGATTATGGGTATCTGTGGGCTAAAATCAAATTAGCTGCAAGATCACAGAGCTAAATGCACTGTTCTACTCAAGCATATTGTGTTAAACTTTCAGATCAGAGGTATTTTGAGTAAAAACAGCTTGTTTAACAAATGTCTAAGAAAAAGTCCCGAGTACCATACTGCTACCTCTAAATGTGAGGGGAAGAACAGAAACAACAGTTTTATTTAGAAATGGTGTCTATTTCAATTTTTGACTTCGTGTGTGGGTTTTTTTATTTTACATTGATCTGAGCAGTATTTCGTTAGCCATTATATCTTTATGTTAAGTTTTAATTCCTCCAAGATCATGTTTGATTACTGATCTGTCACTAAGTTTTCTCTAAGTAGAGATATTATGATGGGGGAGGACACTTAGGTATTTAAATGGCAATTCTGAATCATCTTAATGTGACTTCTTCTGCAGCAATGTTTTTCACCGTCATTGCAAATGTTTGTGAGCAGCAATGGATTACCTCCAAGTCCTATTCCCAGTCCAACAAGGCGATTCTCCAAGTAAGTAACTTCTGAAGCAACAGGTATACATTGGCTTAAATCCCAAGGCAAGCACAAGGATTAGTTAAAGCTGACGCCAAAGCATTAAAAGAGACTTCATTTTTAAAATAGCTGAAGTATTGCCACATAAAAATGCTCTGCAGGTTTGGCCTTTACCAATGGTAACTTCACATGGATGATCTTAAAAGACTCAGTGTTAACTTTAAACCAAGACTTAGTACCTTGCAGGGAAATTTCTGGGTACTTCAAATTAACTTGATAAATAAGGTAGCATAGCCATTTTGTGTACATATTATACTGAATCTAGAAATGGATTGAAGTGAGTATGTGATGCACTGAGGGCAAGAGAAGACACTGAAAAGCTAAGTACAAGTGTTTATAGTAGATAATTCCATCTAATAGGCAGCACTTCTTTGTTTACATATTCAGATTTCCTGAGCATTCCAGTTCAGCTTTAAAGAGTGTTTGATATGATATGTTTGTGTTGATTTAATGCAAGATATGGTGGTGTTCAAACTTGCAGCCTTTACAGACCTGACTGCCAGTATTCTCTCTATAGCAGGAGGAGTCAAAGTCCAATCAACTGTATCAGGCCCAGTGTTCTCGGCCCCATTAAAAGGAAAGGTATGTGTATTTCTGTTTGAGGTGCTGCAGTGTGGATGTCATTTTGCAGCAAGATGCATTTTTCTCCTCTTTGTTGTCCTGTAAATATAATGCACTTGTTTCCAAGGTGATTTGGAATTTGCTAATTGTAATTTATAAATTCAAGGTAAGGCAACTAGTCTAAAGCACAAGAACGAAAATCATTAAAACAGCTGCTGCACTAAAGAGGCAGGTTATTCTTTAAACTACATGTTTATGAATGTTTGTAAGCCCCAGCATTCCTAAGAGTACCACTGTGCAGTGCACACCCCTCAGATCATCCTAGGAATGTTGCTTATCATTCAATATCTTCTAAACTTAGTGCTGAATGTTTGTTTTCACTGTGAAAGTTCAGAAGGTGAGTGTTTGAGAATGGGAGAGAAGTGGAACCAACTGATACTCTTTCCTTGTGAAGGAGGAAAACTGCATTCTTTCTTGGAAGTATTCTGTGTTAAAGATACTCAAATTGCATCTGTAGTGGAACTGTAAGATTAGAATGTGGAAATGTGTGTCTGTAGCTATATTTATCCTTACTGGATGTGTGTATGTATGTATATATTAGACACTAACTGCACCAAAAGCATTCATTCTATTTTATAAGACTTACAGTTACAATTTAGTCTTCAAAAAAAGTTGCTGTTTTGTTGTTTTTCAAGACTGATTGCTTGTCCTGTCAGATAGTATCATGCAATTCATATTAGATTGACAGAGGAGAACGCCAAGATAGTATTGACAGCAACAAGAAAACTTACGTTGGCTATTAAGTTATATGGATTTTAGAACCATTGAAAGTTGCATAAAAGTGTATCAGGTTCATTGATAAACAGGTAACAGATATTCATGCTCCAGTGTTTTACTTGAAATGTTTTACAACAGACTGTACCTAAGCTGTAATAAAAAAAGTAAACACGAGGGCAGGCTTTGCTCACCCTATCCATGTGTTCTGATGGAGCATCTTTTACAAAGAGGAGATGCAAGTTTTCCTATATCAAGGAATTTTTGGAATGTTACCTAATATTAAACTATCTAATCAATTGGAATGAATTTAGTTGCTTTTTCTAAATGCATAATGTATTAGAGAACAATTCACTGCTGTAGGGAATACTGGCAGACTAGGCATAGCAGTGCAGCATTGACTTTGTGAACTTTTAAGCAGTATGTAAATTGCTGGTTTGGGTTTTCTGTGCTCATCAACTATTTTGTATCTGCTAATTTGCCCATTCTGCTTCACAGAAGCTGTCATTCCTCCCTCAAGGAGGGTCTGTATGCTTGTATGCTAGAGAAAATAAGAAACTTGGGGTGTCATCATGCTTATAAAATGAGTGGTAGTATGATTCTCTTGCATAACATGTTTGCTGTTTTACTGTCATACTGCACCATAACTGCAGATAGGTAAAAGGACAAAGAAGCTATTCCCATTTCTTATGTTTTTTGTAGTCAAGCTAAAAAATTAGAACGTCTTGCAGCTGAGAAGGTTTTCTTTGAAGCTTGTTATTGGGAAGTTCGTGGTATTTCCAAATGTCTGTTGTGCAGGAGCTGTTAATGAGCTAGAGCATTCTCAGGGCAGGTTATATGAATTCTGCCTGTTGTGTTTAATATTCCAGTGCCAGTAGATGAGTACAGGTACAAAGATAGTCTGATCTGTGATGAGTAATTGGAAATGCATACACATGCTAATTTTTTTTCTGTTCAGCTTTTAGTTAGAAGTGTACATTCATGACCAAGTTTGTTTTACTCGGAAGGGTGAAACTGTGTACCAAGCTGGAATTTCTATTTCCATCATCACTAAGAATTTTAATCGCTAGATTTTGACATATGCCAGTTGCCTTATCTCAACTGCTTGCTTAAAATTAAGTCACAGTAATCAGTTTGCTTTAGATTGCTTTGTTTGATTGTGTTCTAATGTACCAAGTGCCTGTTTTGATGTCTTTCAGATCATTGTAGCCACTCAGATACAGCTGAAGCATTAGTTAATTTAAGGAATAGGCTGGATGATTAAACAGTAGCTAGAATAAAATTAATTTCTTATCCAAGTGCTTGAGGGCTTATCATATTACAAACGCAAGCTTGCTGTTTTATGGGACAGGCCTTTCTTACACTGAACAAATATTAAATGGACATTCCAGAGACTCAAGTGAGTTTGATTATTTGCACTGTTTTCTTTAGGTGAAATGGAAACTGAAAGTCAGCCAAAGAGACTTTTTCAAGGAACAACCAACATGCTTTCTCCAGATGTTACACATCTGACGGATCTCAGTTCATGGTAAAATATTGTGTGCCATGAAATACCAAACTTGGGAATGCACATTTATTACAAGATCTCTGCTTTTTAGAAAAAAAGGATATTTTGTATGTAGCTTGCATATCTGCATTACTGGGAACTCTTGCTGTGATTTGCAGTGTGGTAACATTCCTGTCTGTCTAATCAATTCCTCATGGGCAGACAGTAGCCTAGATTTTATGTATCCAAACTGTCATTCTGAATGTATTTGTTAGAAATCTCAGTTCCTGAGTAAAGTTACTTCATCTGGAAGCTGCCTTGTCATTTCAGTACGTTGTAGGCTATGGTCACAGTATTCACAGCACTTAACTGAATACTTAGGAAATGTGTGTGTGAATAATTGCAGTCACAGTTCATGTTGCAATGTTCAAAACATTTAGCTTTAATTGTCTGTCTCCTTTGTGTATTATGGTCATAAAAAGCTGATTCTTTTCTGTGTCAAAAGTCAGACACTGAGTATTATATCAACTTTGTGTTGCTGTAATTTCAAGTTTACCTATAGAATTGGAATACCTAGAAATATTTTGTACATTTTCATTCCAGCTAAATTCCAAAAGCATCTTTCTGCACGCTGTCTGGGATCGTGTATCAAGACTTTAAAATTCAAACAAAGTAATTCCTTACTTAAGGAGAAATGCATTTCAGAATGTCTCTTTGATTAGCATACCATTAAAATACATGCTAGCTAATTAATGACACATCAGCTTCATTACTGTTGAGGTTCTTAGTATTCCTTTTCTATAACCTTTTATGTTCTTGTCCTGTAGTTCTCTCTATAACTGATTAAAATCAGGGTTGTAATTTATTATGCATGTTTCAAAAAAACACACTTCTGCTCCTTATTCCCTTAAGGAGCATGAATATATCCATAACATGCTACAGAAAACAAGGAGTCTTCAGGGCTGCCAGTCTTCAAGTAAAGGCTGAGTGGTAGTATATGCCTCCTACATTTCTTCCTCTGAAGGAGAAAATACATGAGCTGTGTACACGAAACCATGGTGCCTGTGTTACTAAATAACCATTTTCTCTTTCCCCAGCCTGTCTTCAGATATTCTTGATGGGAGTAGCAGCAGTGTTGGCTCTTCCTCTGATTCACTGACTAAAGGCAGCATAACCACTGAGTCGCCAGTTACATGCTCAAACTCATGCTCTTCATTCATTTTGATGGATGATCTCTCACCTAAGTGACTTAATCAGTTCTGAGTCAGTGTTTGGCCGTGCTGTTCCCTTGCTGTACAGAGAAATGAACTCTGATCCTTGAACCATTAATATGAGGATTGTTAAATGGAAAATTAGTGTAACTGTAATCCTTGGAAACTTTCCAGTGATTTTGATTTATCCATTTAATGGACATTGTAGACCATATTAATGTCTGGTTTTGCTGATTTTATTTTTTAAACAAATGTCTGCTCAGATTATACTAACTTTTTGCTTTTGAGAACTTGCATACACTTCTTATTCTGAGATAGGTATCTACCTATTAGTGTTGCAATATTGAGAAAAATACTTCTATCGTTATCGTGGTCGCTGTGTCTAGGGAAATAATTTGGTTCTGAAGGATTTGAAAATACTAATTTATTTTCTGGCTCTTCAACCAGTAAGTAAAACTATTTTCCTGACTTTTTTTTTTTTTAAATTCAGGCACTAGCCTCAAGTTCTTTGCAGAAGGGAGAAGAAAGATGTTAACGCTGCTAGTAATTTTCATTACAGGAGAGCATGGTGGGTCTGGAAATCTCACCTTTACATTACAAAAACCAAGAAAATAGTGAATGACTGTCACTTTTGCTGGCAGTGAAGAAATAACAGTATAAATGAACGTGATTAAAATAGCTGCACAGTTCTCTCCCCACGCTCTTCATCCTATGGATTATATGAAATAAGGTCAATATTTAGCAACATTTGGCCAAGGAGAATTAATCCATGCCTCGATCTAAGACATACCATGCAGATAACTAAGTTATTAAAACTACTGTGTAGGAGAACATGTATGGCACCATCAATGTCTCCTGTGGCATTGAGGTCATAGGTATTTTTGTGCCTTAGGGGACATTGTTACAAAATTATGGAATGTAAACCGGAGGGGTGGGTGGGAAACGTCCTTTGTGTACAGCTTGTTGATAGCGTGCTTACCAGAATCTGTCATCAGTGCTGCTTTCTTAGTGTTCCTTTCCAAGGAAAGTGCTCCGTTGCGAGGTGCTGTGGGCAATCCCAACGAGCTGGCAGCCTGTGCAGTAACTTTGGAAGCTGCTGCATTCAGCGCTTATGCCTTTGTAACGAGCAGGGCAGATGGCGAAGTGAACGTTGGATTTCTAACAGAAGACTTCAAAGCTGAGGTTGAGTGGAAGCTCTGCAGGTTTGTTTGGCTTAGGAGTTACGTTGGAGCCGTGACTCGTCGTGATACAGTACTTTGGTCAGTCTGAAGTAAGACAACAGAGAATTTACTTTTTAAAGACTTTAACGGGGCAAAATAAATCTGTTTGTAATCTACTGTGTTATGCTATTTATTATTTATAACTCTGTAAAAAGTCTGTGGTGATGAATTATAGTATTTTTTTATGATTGAATAAGTTTTTTATGTTCAGTACTTGCTGGCTGGTTTGTATTTAATACGCAACGTTGTCTGCCAGAACCATAAGCTTCCATTTCTGAATGTTTGTAACATAAATGCTTTTGTTATCTCTAAGTACAACTTCTGATCTTTTTTGAAAGAAAATAGCACTGACTTTAAAGTGAGATAACGTGCTTCAAAAGTGGGCACAATGTCTGGCAATACTGTCTGGCTAAAAGGGACAGGAAGAGATCCATCGTCCCTTCTGTTCTGAAGAAGCTGTTGAGTTTGCAGAAGGTGTGTACCTACCACATTATTTCTAACAGTGTTCTCATTCAATTGTAAGAAGTACCGTGATGGGCCAACGGCAGCACTGTTCTTTGTGTTACCATTTTCACCTGTGGAGCGTTAGTTCCCCGCCTCCAATAAATGTGCATATTGTAATATATTGTCCTTTGGTGCCATTTTTAAATGAGCTCTGCAGTACGGAATGTTAATTTTATTTGTATATGCCCAGTGCTATTTCTTCAATTTTGGATGTCTTAAATTGCTTAATTATTTTTTTATTCATGCTTGTATCTTCTCTGCCTTCTTGTTGCTGAAGAGGGCTGCTTTTACATTTGCAAAACTGTCGATAAACGGTCTGTGATGAAATTCAACCTGTTACCTGTGCCCCACTTTGGTTATACTGTGCTTTACTGGTTCTGTGATCTAGAAACCCGGGCAAAGGGTGGCAGAGGGGGGGAACTATTGCATGCTTTCTTAAATCAGAAGAGCATAGCTGTCGCTTATTTTGGGCTGACTTACCTGTACAATTGATGTATTCCAGATTTGTTTGTTAGTGGAGAGTCCTATAGAAGTGCTGGCCTTTGTAAACGTTAGAATGTAAGCTTCATAAAGCAAACGCACAAATATTGACTCTTGTTACAGCATCTTTTTAGCGTTCTGGCTATTCTCCACTCTTCAGAAGGCATTGCTCTTTTATAAAATATATATACAATACACACGTGCTTTGTCTGTTGTTTCAGAATGAAGTGTCTTACTGTAATTGTAACAGGTCCCCTCTGGGACTGCGTTCTGATCCGTACCCAGCTGTAATGCTATTTGTTTGTGTTAGAACTGACTGGGGGAAGGCTTCTACTCTAGCAGCTGATGTTTGCACTTTGCATGTGAGTTTCTGCTGCTTACGGAATCAGCCTTGATTGCAGTGGAAAGGTTAGGACAGGGCGCTCCGCATACGCCGACTGCAAGTTGGAGCTGAGGATTTATTAACTGCCTGGTGTGTAATGAATTAGATAGCACGTCGGGGAGGAGCACCAGCTGGTGCCGGGAGGCAGCTTTAACAGATAACCACTAACAGCACTGACTTCAACATTGTGCTGAATTGCTGTAACGAACATCTGAGAATTCCTGCCTTTCCTCACCCTCTTTATTTATTTGTTTTTGAAATGAGAAACCATTGATGCAGACCTATTGCTGAGAATCGTCCGTGGTCAAATGCTTCTAACTTTGTGACCGTGGAGAAGTGCAAATAGCAGCCAACACCAATGCTGTTTAAGCAACCTTTTTGATGGAGTGCTTTCAGTGTGTGAATTAGCTGCCGTTAGCTTTTACCTGAAGTACCCTTGACTCCTCATTCAGCAGCCTTACATGCTGGAAGGCTTTTACCAGTGGTTTAGACCATATATATATATGTCAGCTGTGGAACTCTGTTTTGATGATATCAAATGTTCTGAAATGGGTCACAGTATGGGTGTTTCATTTAATTCATTGCATTTCAGATTGGGGATCACAGGCCCAAAAGGCTTTATTTAAGGGGCTGTTTTTCTGACTGCGTGTGATTAAATACTTTCTCCTGCAATGAAAGTAATTAAACTGTCTGTGAGGATGTAAATCTGAGTCCTGCAGGCTTTATTGGAAAGCTCATTCTTGCGATGTCCAAGGAAAGTTGGACTGTGTAGAAACACTGAGGTCCATATTTGAAAAAATTCCTGAAAATGCTCATTGTAACAACTTGAAATGCTGGAAGTGTTCCAAATGCACAGCCTGGAGTTGGCAGGTTTCTCCAGGCAGAGCCTTGGTGGGGGCTGTATGCAGAGGCTAACTTGAACACATGTAGATTCAGGACTTAACTGTGCTGGTGCACTGCAACAGACACATCTTGGGAGGGGATCTTTTGCCAATGACTGCAGACCCAAATGTTACACTGTGTGACAGTGAAGATGAGAACTTGTTTTTCCTGGAGGAATTTCATCCACATACAGTCTTCCTGGTAACTTTGTAACAAAAAAAAAAAGCTTTGCATTAATATTTGTTCAGATATTTCATGAAGTAATGGGACTAAAGTCCAATAAATATTTTTGGTGCTGTACAGACTGCCTCTTTTATTCCAGGGCTATTATATAAATGGCAACAGGTATCATAAGAGGGAAGGGGCTTTCCTACCATTCAGTTCTTCAGACTGGCTCGAGATTTGTTAAGTCATTCTTAGCAAATGTAGTGAGTGATGTAAGGGGGTCACTGATGTAAGGTGGGCTGCTGACCCACTGAGCTGCTGAAGGATGTAGCAGTGAGCTCCTCAGGTATGGATAAGAGCTTTAGCCCTGACTGCAGACCCGGTTTATCCAGCTTTCAAATAAAGAATGTTTCTGCAATCTGAGACTTCCACGAGTGTATGGGCTGTTCCAACTTACAGGAAAAGGCTGCTTGTCAAACCTAGGAGTGTTTTGCTCAGTCCGTGGCCTTGCTGGTCAAAACTCAAACAGCGTTTGGCTTAATTTAATTTAACTGGGAGATGGCATGGGACTGGTGCTCATGCTTCTCCAAGGACTCTGCTTATCCAACTTACAGCTGGGCCTGTGGTCATCAGACTAACATGGATGATGTTTTAGGGTAAGTCTGCTTTCAGGAGGAGTAAGGAGGCTGCAGAGCTGGCTTAAGCTCACCCTTCCTGCTGCAAATGAAGTCTTCATGCAGGCACAGAGTGGAGCTGCTGGCTTGGTGCTGCCATTCCCTGAGGTACAGAGGCACACAACTTCCCCTTCTAGCTCGGACCTCTAGGCTATCATAGGGTGCTGGGTATTTAGCAGAAGTGAAACAAGTGGATTTGTTTCAGTCCAAACCATTTGTTTGCATTAAAGCTGCTTTTTATTACTGGTTTTATAGATCTAAAAACCTTTTGATATGGGGCTGGTAGGGCTTTAAGTTTGGTGTGTTGAGCCAGTGTTTTCCTTTCAACCTGGAGCAAATGTTTTGTTCTTACATTATAAAGTCTGGAGAGGCCGAGTAGGTAGGTCCTTGCTATTAACAAAGAATGTGCATTAGTGAGCATGGAAGACTTCTCCCTCTTACACACACAGGACCACAGGTTGACCTTCTTACTGTGGCTGTGGTAAACTACTGGTGGACTTGGCCAACTGCTGCGTGCCTCTCACTGGGGGGTATAACACAGTCTGGGATTTTTGATTATTTTTCCAATAATGAAATGCGTGTCTTCTAAAAGAATTATCCATTGTGTTTCAATTCTGCAGGCTGTTTAGGTATAGTTTATGCAGCAGCCTGTATAAAAGTAACTTGTGTAACAGCATGAGTCTTCAACGTGAAACCTGGGGACAACGATGGGGTTTGTTTATGTAGAAGTTGACTAAATGAACCCTTGCACCACCTAACCAAGCTCCCTGCATTCTGCAGCAGTCTGCACTGCTTGTGAACTTTCCCCAAAATTAAATGAGCTGGCAGCAGAAGTGCCAGGCTATTATTTGTATTGGGGTTGTTTATAAGGCGAATTACGAAAACCCTATTGTGCTGGAACAAAAAGACTTTCCTCGCCCCAGATAGTTTGCAATTGAAATTTGTGGTGAGAACTGTAATGGTTTAACATCAGTGCAATGCGTGGTCAACAATTTTTCCACTGTAGAAGTCAGGGTCTGTAATACACAGGTAAGAAGCAGGCAACATCAATAACTGAAGGTAATGAATCCAGAATCCAAATCTAAATGAAAGCAAACCCTTTGCTCTCTGAGCACCCTAACATCATGGGGAAAACTCACATACCTCCCTGCTCATTCTCAACTACAGTGAAGTGTCAGCATTACTTATCAGCAGAAGCTCTAAGATTTAGGAAGAAGAAGGATGCGGCAGGGAGAAGTAGAATAAAAATGCCTCTGTGCCTGTGATACGTGAGTATTGATTAAAGGGCATGGAGAGTAAAGTGCAGCGAGTTGGGACGAATGTGCTTTGAATAAGTCGAGCGCATACAGCACATGTAACATCTTGTTCGTGTGCAAGAACAGTCTGGGAAAGGAACAGCTTTGTTTGTGCAGGAGAGAGAACATCAAAGAGATTGCAAGGACCGGCACTGTAATAGGAAACATTTGTCTTTTGAAGAATTGCTACTGCTGGTGGTCAGTTTTTTCCCTTGTTACACAGCGACAGGATGAGGGATGCGATGGTGTGGGCACCAAGAACCTACAGGCAGCTCCCACACCAGCACCCTGCTTGCACTGCTTGGAAGCGGGAGCTCACACAGCACAGCTCTGTGTGATGGTGTGGTGGGCCAGGAGAGCCCAGTGGGTGTCTGTGTGACCACTGGATGGTGCCACGGCCTGCAACCTGAACCAGCAGTGTGACCTCAGCCGGGGTTGTGTCCATCCTGCAGCTTCTGTGCTGAGTTTGTGTTGATTTCTTTCTTTCCTGAGGGACCCACCTCCTCCTAGGGCTGCTGATGTTTGGACCTCGTTGTACCAACAGTGGATTAAAATGAAGAGCTGGAGCCTTTTGGTCATAAGAAAGACACATTCCCATACTAGAGGAGGCTCTGCTCAGCCTGAAGTAAATGAAGGGCCTTACTCACAGGGGAGCTGTGCTCGGGGTGTTTTGCCTCTGGGCTGCTTTCCCCACCCGGGGAGCCGTTTGAAAGCATGCTGTGGCACATTTCAGCTTGTTGCAGTGAATTGCGAGCTGAGCTCTTTCTCCCAAAGTGCTGATGCTGCAGCATTCCGTCAGACCGCAGGCAGCAGGCATCGTGCTGCTGTTCCTCAGTAGTGTGGGCACACACGGAACTTGGGGCATTTACAGCAGCTTCAGCTTTGCAACCCAGTGTCCAGGTGAGCGCCTGGCAGGAGCGCTTTTGCTGCTTTGGCTGTAGGTTGGGTTGGGAGTGCCCCCAACTCGCTCCTGCTGCTGGGAGCTCTGCCTTTCCCCAGCCCTCACGTAGCTCCGGCTCATGGGGAGCGTTTCCTCTGCTCGTTCATAGTTTGCCTTCTCCTTTGCACGTCTCCAGCAGGAAGTGCAGATTCAGCAGGCATTGTGTGCTCGCAGCCTGCCAGCTGCCTGGCTGAGGCTCATTCACAATTCAAGTCACTCCCGATAAGTTTGCAAACAATGCGCGGTGATTTCTCAGCTAGATAGCAGCCGAGCCAGGCTCCTCCACTTCCAGCATGGCAGCAGGATGGAGCTCTGCATTTACCCTGCAAAGCCCCTGGATAAAACCTGCCCTCACACTTCATGCTTTGGGCTTCTGCGATGTTCCGTAGATTTGTTTATATTTATTTGTTGAGGAATGGTTTGCAGTGAGTGCTATCAGAGAAGCATGCAGCTCTCTATCTCAGTCCGTGTTCCTTTGCTGTTGGTCCGCATCCATAGACTCAGAGCTGCCAGAGAGATGAGCTATCAGATAAGGATTTGTAGGCGAAACTGTGCCCACCCCCCCGTGCATGGAAAATGGGCTCTGTACAGAGCACACACCATTTAATCTTACTGACCATGTTACTGTGAAACGGAATCCTCATGATTTGATATCTCAGCTTGGCAGACACTCCTTTTGTTCGTGCATACATACAGTCACAAGTCAAAAGTGTAGCAGCCTTGAACTGCAGGACGGATTTGCTCATTTTGTGAAAAATGTCGTTATAACAAAGAGGCAAAAGTAGGAATATATATCACCCCTGCCAGGTGACAGCACTGTTTTGCTCGTGGGTAAGTCTATGGAAGCTCACCTGGGTGCAATTCCACAGGCAGACTGACATGCTGAAGTGGATTTGTCATTCTGCCATATGGTGGTTTGTTGGTTTTTTTTTTCACTCCTCCTGTAGTATTGCAATTGGAAATTCAAGCCGGAGAAATGTGAAAGCAATTGGGCCTAATCCATTCCTGTTGTTACTCCTTTTGTTTTCACTGGAGTTACTCCAAGGCTGAATTCAGCACTCGGTGAACAACTTGTTCTCCAAAGCTGGAACTTAGGGGAGAAGGTTTCAGGGCCGATCACGCAACTCGACGGCTCCTCCAACAGCTGATCCTCCCCCGGGAGGGACAACTCATGCTGGGGTCAGGTTATTGAATGTAGAGCAGCATATTAGTAATTAGCCCTCCAGTCATAATAGTATAGTATTATCCATTAGAACAATTACTTAAATGTAACACAACAGTTGTACGCTGAGGGAGCAGAGAGAAAGAACCCTTGGTTTTTAGCAGGAAAATGAAGCAGCTTACAGTCTTATTGGCTTCAGCTTACTTCTTTCCACAAAAGCAAAAACGCTGCTCGCAGGTCAGTCAGTGTGAAGGTTGGTGAGATGCTGCTCTGCTCAGATCTGAGGAGGTTTTTGGGAGAAGGCAGAAACAGTGATGCATTCCACACCACCCTGACCTCAAGGCTCGGCGGAGGAAGCATCAAGCAGCCAAGGAAAACAGTGGGAAGAGTTAAATCTCACAGAGCACAGCACTGAGGGATTATCTCCCCAAAGCTTGCTTGAAGTTCACATATCAAAGGGGATCTCTGGCTTCCGAGGAACTACAGCTCCTACTGTTTGTGCCCCACAACCCCTCAAACATCTCTTGCTCATTATCTTGATCATCATACTTTGGGCCAAGGCTTTCAGAAGACTTCAACACTAAACCAAACTTGTTACTGCCGAGCTTCAGCCCAGGATCTGTTCTCACATCCATGTCTGTGCATCTGGAAGGTGCCCCAAGCCAACGTAACTCTGGGTTTATGGAGCTCGATGCTGGGACCTACTTGTTTTGTCTCCTCTTTGGATTTTTGCTTCTCTTCCCTGTAAGCATTTGGATCCAGAAGCTGGAGCATCTCATCCTTCACTTTGAAACTCTCTGTTCTTTCTGGCTCTGGAGTCACCTGGGAGTTGCAGCTCCTAAAACTTCAGAAAAATAGAAGGTTTTAAGAAAAAAATTAAAGTGAAAAACCATATTGGCTAAAGTCATGGAGGAGGTAGATTGTAATTTGTGTTCTTAAAGGCTGTGGTTAAGTGTTCAGCCCATTTCTCCCATAAGCTTAAATTGTATTTATTTTGCACTGTGGAGTATTTGCCTAAGGACTTTCTGCTGTTCCCAGATTAGCAGTAGTGCCTATGGAGAA